CTGGGAACCAGGCAGGGATTTGGGAATCAATCAGGCAGGGATTCGGGAATCAGGCAGGAATTCGGGAATCAGGCAGGGATTTGGGATTCAGAGACAGGGCTAGGAACCAGGCAGGGATTTGGGAACCAGGCAGGAATTCGGGAATCAGGCAGGGATTCTTGCTGGGAATTAGGCAGGGATTTGGGAATCAATCAGACAGGGATAGGGCCAGGAATCAGGCAGGGATTTGGGAACCAGGCAGGGATTTGGGAATCATGCCAAGATCCTTGTGTTTGGAATCAGGCAGGGTCTCGGGCTGTGCAGGAGATGCAGCAGAGAGGGAATGCAGGAACTGGAGCAGGGGATGGAACTGGCAGCACGAGGCTGGTGTGAGAGCAAGGGAATAAATCAGGAATGACTCAAAGCTGGGGTGTGGGAGGAGATGCCCCCAGGTCCCTGGGGATGAGGCTCTCACTGCAGGGTGGGGCAGGAGAGGAGGGGATGATGGACCCCACAGGGAAAAGGCCCTCCAGGAGTGCATCTGCTGGGAGGATGAGCTGGAAGAGGCTCAAACCCTACTGGGGATTTCCAGCCATCACCTGTGTCCTTTCCCAGGGATTTTCCAGCACCTGAAGTCACACAGGTAAGTGGTGGCTGCCTCTGTCACCTCAGCACCCCGGCAGAGGCTGTCCCCAGCTCAGGTGTGGCTCTGCCTCCCAGACAGAGATGGATGGCCCAGCATAAATTATCTCCTCCAAAGCAGACCTTAAGGTGGACTTCTGCAGAGTTGAGAGCAGCTCAGTGCAGTTTTAATGTCAGCTCTGAAATGCAGTTGCAGGCTCTGTGCTTGGCTGTGTGCTCAGGTTCTGAGATTCCCTGGCACTTTTAGAAACATTCATTTGTTCAGCAGACACAGAAGTGGCCACTGAAATGTGACTGTGGGATGTGTTTTGGAGGAATGGAGTGAGCAGGAGTGAGATGATGATAAAGGCAAGGGTTACACGGCTTTTTCCAGCTCAGACAATGCCCTGTAATTGTGTGTCAGGAGTCCTTCAGCTTTGGTATCACACCAGTTAATTAAAGCAGCCCTCTGAAGAGCCTGTCTGTGCTGGCAGCTTTGCTGCCTCCTTCCCCAGCACCAAACGGGCTCTGAAGGCAGCGCTGGGGTTCAGTGCATCCATCTGTGGGGAAATGGGAGATGTGCTGGAATCCACCTCTGCCTTTACTGGGCTGGGCCAGGCTGGGTTCCAGGTGCTGGGAGGAGGATAGGACAAAACAAAACCAAAAAAAAGAGGGGAAAAAAAAAAGAAAAAGATGTTTCCAAAAGGTAGGAAATGAAAAGAAATGAGTTCTTCAGTGTTATTTAAAATGCCATTAAAGCTTGCAAGGAAAGCAATCCCTTTCAAGCTGGATTGTCTGTGCTTGCCTCCAACACGTTTTTCCAGTGCAATTCTCAAGGACTGCTTTCAGGTACACAGCACACACAGAGAGAACAGGGATTTATTCTCAGGAAAGCTTTATTCTTATGGGCCTTTGATGTGCAGAAGCTGCAGCTTCATTCAAACAACCAAACAGCAGAGAAATGCAAATATTTCAATCACTCTCCTGGAATATTTGGAGGATTCAAGGTTTAGTACAACAGTTTTTCCTGTTTTCTGCAAAAGGTAAACAGAGGAAAAAGAAACCCATTTGCAATGAGTTTGCTGCTCTCTGCACAGGGAAATACTTGGGAATTGCTGACAAAGCTGTGTCAGTTTTCCAGAGGGGCTCAAGTGTTGCTGTGGGGCTTTTTGGGGCTCCCTTAAGGAAACACTCTGGTGATGCTTTGGGAAAAGCTTTTCCAAATTGCTTTAGACTTCACCAATCTGATTGGAATTGTTCCATGGAATAGCCCCTCTGGGAACAAAGCAGAGCCAGCCCCGAGTTGGGAGAGCTTGGGAGGGTTTGGAGGCTCACTGGGTTTTGTCCCTTTGCCATCCCCTGCTCTCCTGGAGCCGCTGGAGCACCTGGAATGCTCCTGGATATTCCCCATCCCAGCAGCCCTGCTCCTGCGTGCCCTGGGGATGCTGAAGAGCAGCAGAGGCTGCAGCAGCTCTGGGACAGCCCAGGGCACGGTGAGAGCTCCAGCCGGGGGTGCAGAGCGGCTTCGCTGCCATCCCAAAAACCAAGGGAAATGTTTTGACACTTCCCGTTGGAATACGCCGGGGGGACGTTGCCATTAGATAAAAACGGGGTTATTTTGACACTTCGTTGCAATTTGTGGCAGGGAGAAAAAAGAAACCAAGAACCCACCCAAAAAACCAAGAGTGAGAATAGCAGATGGAGGGCTGGAAATTTCCATTTTTTTAGCTGTAGTGGTTCCAAGCCTCCCTCCCCGGTTCACTCGAGGACGAGCTGCTCGCAGTTTCAGATGGTTCCCTTTGCTCGGGGCCCAAAGGTGCATTAAGGACTGGGGTCCATGGCTGGGGAGCTTTGGGGTGGTGTTACCCCACTCCTGTCTCACCAATGCCCAGATCCCTGCGGTGCTGAGCGCTGCTCGCGCTTCCCGGGTGGGATTTACACCCCAGAGCAGCCGAGGGCGGCCAGGGGATGCGATGGAATTAATTCTCCAGGGAATCCTTATTCCACCTCCAGGAGACACAGCAGAATCACGATGTTTGCCCAGGGAAATCCCTGGGAATAAACCCCAGCAGGGAGCTGGGATGAGCGGGGAGGTCGGGCAGGAGCAGGGGGAGGCTCGGGGAGGGAAGGGCTGCAGCAGGAGGAGGATGAGGATGGATCTGGGGGAGTTGAGCACTTGCTGGGTGGGGTGTCAGGGCCGGCTCTGGCAGAGCTGTTTGTGCCCTTCAGAAAGGTAATGAAGAATCCTCCTTTTCCCCGGCTCTTCCCTCCCGCTCCCGGAGGAGGGGGGATTGATTGGACATGTGCTCTGTAACAGGGAAGCTGCAAAGTGCAGCTGTTCAATGGGAGGAGAGAGAGGGAATGAATTAAAAGCAAACACATCTTCCCCCTCCTTTCCCAACACAGCTCTGGAATGCTCAAATAACTCTGGGAAGGGAGTGCTGTGCCCTGGGCTCCTGTGGAACAGGAATCTTCACACCCAGGGACAAACGGCAGGCTAAACTTTCCTGGGAAACCTTTTCCACCCGGCTCTGCTCCTGCTGCCTCAGCCCCCTCTGCTCCCAAAGCCTGATTTGTTCCTTCCTCCCCGCTGCACTTTCACCCTTCCAGTTCTTCCCAGCCTTAGATCATTTGGGAATTTCATTCACGTTGTAGCTGCTGCCCCTTTGAGGCCATCAACAGCAGCTGGTTGGGTGGCCAGGGCTGGATGGGGATGGAGAAGCCTGGAATAGAGGAACAAGGTCAGCCTTGGTCCCTTCCAACCCAAATCACTGCAGGACTCTGTGATTCCGTGGGGCAGGAGGAACTTCCAGTTCTCTGAGTTTTCCTGGGATCTTTTCCCCCTTTTATCCTCTAATACGGTTCTGTGTCAGCTGCCCACATTTGGGGGTAAATGCTTAGGAGAAAGGGGAATATTAGGGTTCCACTGCTTAGGGAAAGGGGAATATTGGGATTTCTGACTCCCCAGGGAGGGGAAATCCACCTGCCTGATTTTCCAGGCTGGGCAGGGGGAGAGGGCAGCAGCACCTCAACACATTCCCCCTGTGATCCTGGAAGGACAGAGCTCAGGGTGAAGCATTCCTGTGGAGATGCTGCAGTGGGAAAGATCCCAAAGCTTCTCCCAAGCCCCAGCACTGTCTGTGGAGAGACTGGCTCCATGGACCACATCCCCTCGCAGCTCTGAGCCGGGAGCATCTGTTGCCATGGTGACTTGGTGGGGAAAGTCATCTGGGGAAAGTGCTGCTGTATTTTTAGCTTTGGGTAATGAAATGAAACAGCTGGAGAGGAAGGTGAGGGGCAGCCGGGGCCCACAGGAGCCTGGAGCAGGGTCTGGGAGCAGGGCTGGGTTCAGGGAGGGTGCTCAGGAAGGGCAGCACCTGCAGGAGCCTGGGAATGACTCCTGGGAAGAGAAGGGGATGAGGAGGAGCTGTTCCACGCTGAGAGAAAGAAGAGGCACTGCCTGAGGTCACACTGCTCCCTGTACACTGTGTTCAGCCTATAAATAACTCACATCTACCTCGGCACCAGTGGTATTTATAGAGTGGGGAGGGGAAAAGGCTCTGTTTGGTGGTGGGGGTGGATTTGGGAAGGATGTGCCAGGCTTGGTCAAAAGTTCAGGTCTTTGAGAGGAGCAGAAAGCCCCAAATGTGGGGAGGGTTCTGCTGTGCCCAAGGCTCAAAGGCTGAGTGCTGTTAATGCAGTTTTGGGATGGGAGTGCCTGGAGAGGGCTCTCAGCTGGGGCTGCTGTGTGGATATTCCACAAGTCTCCTTTATCCCTGGCATTTACCCCTGGCATTTGGATCAGCCTCACTTGCCTGGAAACTTCTCCAGATTCACATTTTACTTCCTAAAATCCTCTCCTGGCTCCCTGCAATGAACCTCATTCTTCTGCCTTCAGCTGTCATGAGTTTGTTTTCCCATTAATTGATTTGGGTGTAATATTTACTGCACTGAGCTCTCAGGACCACAGATGAAAGGAGATTTCCCTGCAGCTGGTGGAGTCTGATGGGATTCAGGGATTCATTCCCACTCCAAAGGCTCCTGGAATTACGAGCTGAAGCTTTGAGCAGCCTCCCCACCTTTCCCTCCCAGGGCTGGCAGGGAGACAGAGGGAATTCAGCTTTGGGAAGTCACAGCTGGTGCAAACCCAAGCCCAGAGCGTGGAGATGTGGCCCAATATTCCCTGGAATGAATTCCCTCTGTGTCCCTGCCCCCAGGAAATCCCGTGTGCACAGGAGCCGTGGGGCTGTGGGAGGTTCATGGGTGTGCACAAACATATCCTGATCCCCCTGCCCCAGGGCGATCAAATATCCACAAATAACGCTGGAAAAAGCAACAGCTGCTGCTTCTGTGCTCAGCATCCACCATAACAGCTCCTCCTTTCCCCCTTGCCTCCACAGAGATCCGAGAGGCTTTCCGAGTGCTGGACCGGGACGGGAATGGCTTCATCTCCAAGCAGGAGCTGGGCATGGCCATGCGCTCCCTGGGCTACATGCCCAGCGAGGTGGAGCTGGCCATCATCATGCAGCGCCTGGACATGGATGGTGAGTCCTCAGCGGGGTCTGCTCCCTCCTGGGGCGTTCCCGGCGGCTTTCCCGGCTCCTGGCAGCCCTTGGATCCGGATCCAACAATTCCTGGTCGGAGAGGGAGCTGGGGAGCTCTGCTTTCCCCACCCAAAAGGAAAGGGCAGGGTGAGAGGTGAAGCTGCTGTGGGTAAGGGGGAAAAGGAATCCATCGCTTCAAAGAGGGTTTTGTCCTAAGTTTGTTGTTTGCCCCTTGCCCTGCTGTGCTGGCCTCTCCTGGCAGGGAGGGACTCGGGCTCAGGGCTGGCAAAGCCAGGCTTAGTGTGCTGCCAACTCCTGGGGTCTTTTCCCGAAATTCTGAGCTTTGTTGGAAAAAGAGTGCTGGGACTTGGCTCCCAGTTCAGATCTGTCTCCAGTCCTTCCCTGCCTCTGGCAGCCCTTGGCTCCGTTCTGTGCAGACTGCTGCCGTGGAGGGAGCTGAGCTGGGAGTTAAACCTGGAACCTGGAGGTGCTAAATTCCTGCTGAGGCTTTCCAGGGAGCTCTGTGTGCTTCCTGCAGGGATGGCAGCTGATCCTCCAGCTCCAAACTGCTGGTACTGGTGCAGTGCTGGAGCAGGGGTCTGGGGGAGGCTGTGCCAGGGGAAGGGCCAAGTGGATTTAAAAAAGTCAGGGAATGGGAAATTCCTGAGGCACTGAGCAAAGAGGGGAATGTTCTGTGAGAGATTTCCCTTGCCTGCAAATTGAATTAGTGCTGTACAGCTTGAATTTATATTACTATGGCTACTTTTTCTCCAATGGATTCTTCACCTTTTCCTGGGATTTAAATTGAACTGTGGAGTGGGAACCAGCAAAAGCCTCCTCCTTCCTCTCCCAGTGGGAAAGGACATCCTTCAGGAGCAGGGCAGGAACGTTGCTTGTGCCCAGGGCTCCCAGGAACAGCCTGACCAGCTTCCCATGTATTCCTGGGGAGGGTTGCTGAGTTTTTCCAGGTCTTTGCTTGGCATTAGATGGGTTGGAAGCCTGGATGGATGAAAGGTCACGCTCAGGGAGGAGTCTCCAGTGGTCAGGAGAGCCGGGGGGGAGGTGAAATCCTGTGCACATCTCTGGCCCGTGCTGTGAGTTATGATGTGCTGGCAGGTGGAGCAGCCAGACATCCATTCCTTCCTTCCCATCAAAACTGCTGCCAGGGCCTGAAAATGAGGTAAGAAAATTGGCAGGGCTTGGGGTTTAACCTGAGCCAGCCTGAGCAGCCCCAAGATCCAGTTTTCATCAGCAAATTCCAGCGTGGCCGAGGGCCTGAGTCTGCCACGGCCGATTTCACTGAGGGCTGGAAGGAACCTGGGCTGGGCTGAGCTGAGCTGGGCTGGGCTGGGCTGGGCTGGGCTGGGCTGGCCTGGGCTGGCCTGGGCTGGCCTGGGCTGGGCTGAGCTGGGCTGAGCTGGGCTGGGCTGGGCTGGGCTGGGCTGAGCTGGTGTTCCCTGTTTTCTGCAGGGATGGGGATGAAGGGATGGGGATGAAGGGAGCAGGATGAAGGGAGCAGGATGAAGGGATGGGGATGAAGGGATGGGAGCAGGATGAAGGGAGCAGGATTGCCAGGCTGGACATGGGGATCTCAGAGGAGCATCTGAAGTGACCTGACAGGAGCATTTCACACCTGGCTGTCACCTCCTGCCACCGAGCCAGGAGTGGCACAGGCACCTTCCACTGTCCCAGGTTGCTCCAAGCCCCATCCAACCTGGCCCCAGGCACTTCCAGGGATGGGACAGATGGGTTAGGATGGAGTTTGGGTTTGTCCTTTGATCTCAAAGTGATTTTTTCAGTGTGAGAAATGATCCAGCCACATTCCAGCCTGGCTGTCCTTTAAAATGTGCTGCTGAGCTGGGAATTTTGGGCAGCGGGCTGGATTTGATGAGACTTGTCTGGATTTACAGGGGCCACTGTCTCCATGTCTGCTCTCATTTGGACAATGAGGATTATCACATTTTATCCCATTCTGTGTTCTCACTGCAGAAGTGAGGAGTAATTACAGCTGCTCCTGCAGCCTGTCAGATCTGCAGCTCGGGAGTTCATCAAATTATGCCAAATTATATCAAATGACACCAAATGCTATCCAACCCTGCCTCTGCTGACGTGCAGCCCCTGAAGGGACAGCACAAAAGGAAGCTCAGAAGTGCAGTCCCCCCTCTGGAGCCCTGGGCTGAGCTGCACCTCGAGCCCTGTGCTCGGTTTGGATCCTCGCTGTGTTTTATGCCCTGGGGTTGCTCTGGCTCCCCAGGCTGTGCCCAGAGCTCTGTTTCATGAGCTGCTGCTGCTCCTCCCCGGGGTGTCAGAGCCTCCCCAGGGCAGGGGGCAGAGGATGGCAGTCCTGGCAGGCTGGGGGTGATCCTGCTGCTCTTGATCCGTGGGACAGAGGGATCAGCAGCTCACGGAGCTGCAGAGATCCCCAGGGAGAGGGGGGATCTCAGAGAGGGCTGGGGGCACAGGGAGCTCATCCACTGCCACATCCCTGGGGACATGTGGTGCCAGGGCTGGCCCCTTGGCACCCTGCAGCTCCCTGGCTGGAGCTGGCAGGTGTCTGATGGACATTTATTTCACTCCGTTTTCCTTGGACTTCTCCTCCTTGTTTGAGTGCTCGTGCTGGAGCAGGGACAGGTCCCAGCAGATTCCCTGTCCTCCTCAGTCCTGCTCAGACTCTGGGAGTTCACAGGTTTATTTTTAATGGGAAGCGAGCTGTTCCCGAGGAGCTGTTCCCTGCCCCTGCAGGACAAGCCAAGGTGTGCCAGAGAGAGGAACTCTGCAGCTCCTGGATGGACAAACCCCCCCTGCTCCTCTTCTGGGCTCTGCTGGAGCCTGCCAGCCCCACAGAAATCCCCTCCTCCAGGGATGTGTCCTACAATCCATGGATCTTTTCTGTGTGGTTGTCATGGAGCCAGAGCAGCCAGATCCACACAACTGCTCTGAAATCTGCAGGAGTGGAGGCACTTAAGAGACAGAGGGGCTCCAGTGATGTTTGATCCTTTCCCCAGATCCAAGCTTTCCATGGAATCCCAGAGTGGTTTGGGTGGGAAGGGATCTTAGAGCTCTTCTCATTCCATGGCAGGGACACCTTCTCCTGTCCCAGGTGCTCCAAACCCATCCAGCCTGGCCTTGGGCACTGCCAGGGATCCAGGGACAGCCCCAGCTGCTCTGGGAATTCATCCCAGCCTCTGCCCACCCTGCCAGGGAACAATTCCTGCCCAAAATCACATCCATTCCTGCCCTCTGGCACTGGGAACCATTCCCTGTGCCCTGTCCCTCCATCCCTTGTCCCCAGTCCCTCTCCAGCTCTCCTGGAGCCCCTTCAGGCCCTGGCAAGGGGCTCTGAGGTGTCCCTGGAGCTTCTCCTGTCCAGGTGAGCCCCCCCAGCTCTGCCAGCCTGGCTCCAGCCCTGGGAGCAGCTCCGTGGTCTCCTCTGGACTCTTTCCCACAGATCCATGTCCTTCCCGTGCTGGGGTGGTTCTTCCTCTCCCAGAAGTCACTGGAGCCAGCTATAATTAAAACTGTTTTCCAAGGCCAAAGTTTGGTGCCAGACCTGCCCTGTTCCCGTTGTGCTTCTGGACTGAGACTGTAATTAGGGAAAATTCTCTGCCTCGTGCTGGGCAAGGGCTCAGAGGGCTGAGGAGGCTCTGACCTCCAAATGTGTGGAACCGAAAGCCTCGTCTGGGAAATCTTCTGTGGCTGGAGCTGCTCCCTGCTCATCCCGTGCCCCATCCCAGGGCACACCTGTGCCAGCCTGGGCACGGCACTGGCACTGCAGGGAGCTGCTGGAGAATAAAAATAAACAGGAGCTGTGTGCCCCGAGCTGCAAACCCAGCTCATTAACTTTAAATATCTCACCTCGGGCTCGCTGGAGGTCAGGCAGGAGGAGAGCGAATGCTGATCAGGCTCCAGCACCAGGAGCCAGGCTCCCATCACTGCCATTCCTCCTGATTGTCACAGTCCCCAGCTTCCTGCCAGGATCAGAGTCCTGCAGGGAGCAAACCCCTGTGGGTGCTGGAGGCTCCTCTCAGCCAGCCTGGGGATGATGAGCTGATGTGTTTGGGCTCTGCTGGGGTGGCCAGAAAGGTTCTGAGTCATTGTTTGAGTCATGAGGCTCAGGCACAGCGTTGGTGCCCCCGGGTGACTCGGTGACATTAATGCCAGGATTAACACGGAGCTGCACGGGGGAGGGCACGGCCGGGAGGAGATCAAGGAGTGCTTTAGGTGGGTTTAAACCAGCGCTTGAGCTCAGCTCTGGTGCTCTGCTGAGATCACCCACACAGGCAGTGACCCATCCCTTGGCTGGTGAGAGCAGCTCAGGGGTGGGATCCTGCCTGGAGCCCCTCTGTCCTCACCCCCTGTGCCACCTGCCAGGCTGCCCTGTCCCAACAGCCCCCTCAGCACCATTCCCAAGGTTTCCATATCCCAACAGCCCCCTCAGCACCATTCCCAAGGGTCCCCAGTCCCAGCACATCCCACCCCACCGTTCCCCCAGGTTTCCCTGCCCTCCCAGTTTGTAAATAAGCTCTGGGAATGTGTGAGTGCCTTGGAATCATGGAATCATTAAGCTGGGAAAGGGCTCTGAAACCCTTAAACCAGCTCGGAGATAATTTGTGGATAATCCAAGGACCTTGTGGAGGGCAGCACATCTGTATCTGGGGATGGGGGCTTGGATGTGGCTGCAGGGCTGGGTCCCGAGCAGATCCCCAGCGCTCTGTGCCCGTGGGGAGGAGCAGCAGGGCGAGCAGGGTGGCTCCTGTCTGTGCCAAACCCAAACTCCACGCTCTGCTCCGGGATGGGATGTGAAAAGTGGCCTTTGGTGCTGTCCTGGCTGTGCAGAGCAGCCCCGTGCAGGTTCTGCTGTTGGTTTTTATACCATTTCTCTGGTGGCTGCCACAAGGAATGTTCAGACAAAGCCGTGATCTCTGTGTGTTGATGGGATGATGCTGCAGTCTCCCGAGGTGCTGATGGCAGGGAAGCTTTGTTTTCTGCAGCTTCACGGGAATGTTAAAGGGATATTTCTACCGGGCTAAAGTGGGGCCCAGCTGCCTTGCTAGTTAAAAGTTTTAATTGAAAAAGCAGTCAATAAGGGGATAATGCATTTTTCAGTGGCATCTTTCTTCGGAGGCTGTGGAAAATGCTGTCATTAAGCTGCTAATTAAAGCGTGTGAGGTTAGTGATGATCCCTGGCAGGAGGTCACCGTCCAAAGTCAGATCCCGCAGTCCTGGCACCTTCCCTCACCTGGGACCGAGCCCTGCCCGGCCCGAGGGCACAGCGACAGCGGGAAGGACCCGAAGTGAAGAGCTCGGGGTCCCACAGGCCCGGGGGGGCAGGCACCAGCATCTCTTTAACATGCAAATTGTTTTCTTGCTAATCTGGCTGATTTGAATAAATCAGCATCCCGAAGCATCCCGGTGTGCATCCCACGGATTGGCGGTGAGCATCCCCCGGAGCCGCTGGCACCTGGCATCACCTTCCTCATCCTCCCGGTCCTCCCGATCCTCCCCATCCTCCCGATCCTCCCGATCCTCCCCATCCTCCTCATCCTCCCGCTCCTCCTCATCCTCCCGATCCTCCCGATCCTCCCGATCCTCCCCATCCTCCCCATCCTCCTCATCCTCCCCATCCTCCCGATCCTCCCGATCCTCCCGGTCCAGACGGCAGCAGGAGCTTTCCAGAGCCCATAAATTAAATCAGGAATTTAATGAATGGCTCTCCAAGGGGTGCGGGGCCCAGCCCTTACCCCAGCGAGCTGCCCCAGACATGAGCAGAGCCCCGGAGCGGCGGCTTTTACAGGATCCCTGCGGATCCCTGCGGATCCCTGTGGATCCCTGCGGATCCCTGCGGATCCCTGCGGATCCCTGCGGATCCCTGTGAATCCCTGCAGATCCCTGCGGATCCGATCCCTGCAGATCCCTGTGGATCCCTGCGGATCCCTGCGGATCCCTGTGGATCCCTGCGGATCCCTGTGGATCCCTGCGGATCCCTGTGAATCCCTGCGGATCCCTGCAGATCCCTGCGGATCCGATCCCTGCAGATCCCTGTGGATCCCTGCGGATCCCTGTGGATCCCTGCAGACCCTGCGGATCCCTGTGGATCCCTGCAGATCCCTGCAGATCCCTGTGGATCCGATCCCTGCAGATCCCTGTGGATCCCTGCAGATCCCTGTGGATCCCTGCGGATCCCTGCAGATCCCTGCAGATCCCTGCGGATCCCTGCAGATCCCTGCGGATCCCTGTGGATCCCTGTGGATCCCTGCAGATCCCTGCAGATCCCTGCAGATCCCTGCAGATCCCTGCGGATCCCTGCAGATCCCTGCAGATCCCTGTGGATCCCTGCAGATCCGATCCCTGCAGATCCCTGCAGATCCCTGCAGATCCCTGTGGATCCCTGCAGATCCCTGCAGATCCCTGCGGATCCCTGCAGATCCCTGCAGATCCCTGCAGATCCCTGCAGATAGATCCCTGTAGATCCCGGCCTTTCAGAGCCTCAGCCCAGGCTATTCCCACCAGAAATCCCAGCTCTGCTGCCCGGAGATGGAAATTCCACCCGGGACTGCTGGGGCTGCGCTGATCTCCCCACGTCTGTGCCGAGAGTTTCTCTGGGCTCCCTGGCCCTGGGAATGAGCTGTTTCCCTCAGTTGTGATTTCAGTGAGCTGTTTCCCTCACTGTGTGATTTCAGTGAGCTGTTTTTCTCAGAGTGTGATTTTCAGTGAGCTGTTTCCCTCACTGTGTGATTTTCAGGGGTCTGATCCTGTCTTGGGGGCAGCTGGGACACAACCAGGGCCATTCCCTGGCACAGCAAAGGATTGGGGTCCGTGGGCACCGGGAAGTTGCTGTGGAGCTTTCCCGGGGTGTGGGGGGTCCCTGGTGTGCAGCAGCTCCAGAGGGGCACGTTGGGCTCTCAGGGGTAATTAATTGATACTAATGAGGGTGGGCAGGCCCCTGGATCCCTGGCAGTGCCCGAGGCCAGGCTGGAGGGGGCTCAGAGCAGGGCAAGGTGTCCCTGGT